GGAAGATCCCTTCCGGGGTCCCCCCCTGGGAGCCCTTCTGCGCAACTACCAAACATTCCCTTCCGCTCCCGCCTCCAATGGGGGCGCTTGCCTTTTTCAGCAGGTTTTTGTTAGAAACTGACTCCCTTTCCCTACGCCTGGCCTGGACCAATTTTCTTAGGTAAAGATTTACGAGAGGAAAATTTGGAAGGGGATTTGATTTTGGCTTCCTGCAGAGACAGAGTTTAAAGACCTGCAGCACCTGGACCCAGGAGGAGGATGACCCCAGCCCTGTTTTCCCTAAGAGGAGACGACAGACAAGGGCCCTTCTTTCACTGGGGAAGAAATTGGCCCCTCCCCCCCCCCAAAGGGCTGGGAACACCTCCCCCACTTTTTTCCCCCTTTTCCCCTCTTCCGCCTTCCTTCTTGATAGAGGCTGTTTTCCTTGAACTGGAAGGAAGGGACCCTGGATGAGAGCTGCAGAAGGGCCCCTGGATGGGAGGAAGCTCACAATATGCTGTGCGTTTACCTCACTATTGTATTTGAAACCTTCCTAGACTCTTCTAACTCTGTGATGTTTTGATATTCTATAATGACTGGATTATTATTATTGGCTATATTAATAGCCAATTAATATAGCTATTATTGATAGCTATATTAATAGCCATTATCAACAGCTCTATTAATAATATCTATTATTAATAGCTCTATTAATAATAGCTATTATTAGCTATTATCTATATAAATAAAAATGTAATGTTCATTTGTGGGATTAACATAACTCAAAAACCATTGGCTGAATTGACACGAAATTTGGACACAACACACATAACAGTTCAATGAGTTTCCATCACCCATAAACACACGCACACACACACAAAGCCCCAGTGGACCAGACTTAAAACCCCCCAAACAATACACCATATATGCATAAACACATACACTCATATGCATATGCACATGCACACATTCATACAAACACACGTATATATATGAACACACACAAATACACACATATAATCACATACATATATGCATGCACACACATATACATATCTACATACAAACATATATACACACAAATATGCATATAGACAAGCACACACATATACACAATATGCACGTACACATATAAACACACAAATATATACACACATATATACACAAATATATACACACATACACAGTAAGCATGTACACACATAAACACACATATATACATTCACACACACATATATATATAAGCAAACACACATATATACACAAATATATACACACATATACACAATATGCATGTACACATATAAACACACAAATACACCCACACATATATACACCCACATATATTTATGCAAACACACATATATACACACACAAAACACATATACACAGACTGGGCCACAGCAACACGTGGCAGGGGACGGCTAGTCATCCATATAAATAAAAAATGTAATATTCGTTTGTGGGATTAATATAATTCAAAAACCACTGGACAAATTGACACCAAATTTGGACACAATGCACCTATCAAGCCAGTGGGTGACCATCACTCATAAAAAACCTGAAAAACACAGCAGAAGAGACTTAAAAAGCCAAAAAATAAAAAATACATTATAACGTATGCGCAAAACCACACATATATATGCAAACACACATGTATACACATATACACAAATATATACACACACTGAGACACAGCAATGTGTGGCAGGGGACAGCTAGTAGCTAATAATATTGTTGTTGAAGGTTTTCATGGCTGGATTCCCTACATCTACATTTCGCCTACATCTATGGCAGGCATCCTCAGAGGAGGATGGTACAATGGGTTAAAACCTTGTGCCAGTAGGACTGAAGACCGACAGGTGGGAGGTTTGAATCTGGGGAGAGTGCAGATGAGTTCCCTCTGTCAGCTCCAGCTCTCCATGCAGGGACATGAGAAGCCTCCCACAAGGATGGTAAAACATCAAAACATCAGGGTGTGCCCTGGGCAACATCCTTGCAGATGGCCAATTCTCTCACACCAGAAGCAACTTGTAGTTTCTCAAGTTGCTCCTGACATACATACATACACACACACACAAATCCTCAAAGGTTGTGAGGCTATTGGAAACTAAGCAAGGGAGGCATATATATCTGTGGAGGGTTCAGGGTGGGAGAAACAACTCTTGTCTGTTGGAGATACTTGATGAACCAACCTGGACAAAGCATATTGTTTTAGAAAACAGAAATGGTGGACCACTTTAACAACCACTATGTCAGGCTACACAGAGAAGCCATTGAAATCCACAAACATGGGGACAATTTCAACAGAAAGGAGGAAACCATGAAAATGAACAAAATCTGGCTACCAGTATGAAAAAAAAATCTAAAATCAGAACAATAAATAAAAAGCAGCACTCAGAAAAGTGGGGAATTCCAGACATGAAACAATCGGGGCCAGCTAACACCTCCCAACAAAAGATTCCTCCAGGTAGTAAGCAACCAGGCTTTGAAGTTGCAAGGCTTTGCAATGCTAATCAAGGTGATTAACTGCAACATTCACACTTCTCTCCAACAGACAAGAGTTCTTTCTCCCACCCTGGACCTTCTGCAGATATATAAACCTTCCCTTGCTTAGTTTCCAATATACCTCACAACCTTTGAGGATTCCTGACATAGATGTGGGTGAAATGTCAGGAGAGAATGCTTCTGGAATATGGCCATACAGCCTGGAAAACTCACAGAACCTATATTTAATTTATCTGGACCACTATGAGGTCTCTGGGGAGAGGAAATAAATCAACAACAGTGTTCCTAGCTGAATGCACTTCCTCCACAGGGCTTCCTTGGGAGGGGTTTCCCCAACTGCCAGACCCTCTCCTGCATTTCCCAGGGGCCTCCTCCTCCCAGCGGTGCTGGCTCTTCCTGGCTATAGAAATGCACTGAGAGGCTGTTAAGGGTTTGCCTTTTACTCTGGAATAGATGCAGAAGGGGGCAAGGAGGGCTGGAGCCTTTCCTGTCAAGCCTGGCTCCACTGCTGTCTTGGGGGGAGTGGCTCCTCTTCTTCCCATGGCATTGGGATGCCAATCCCATTGAGGCCAAGCGCAGCAGTGAAGGAGGCAGGGAGGTGTGAGCTCATTAGAACCCTTCTTCTTCCTTGGGATGGGCCTCGACTTGCCCACCGGCAGGAGCCAAGCCTGACTCACACTTCTGGAGAAAGAGGAGGGAACCCGCCAGCCCTGACTTGCCTGGGACTCACTCCGGGCCGAGGGTGGGGCCGCCTCTCCCCAGCGGCAGACCTGGGATAGCGCCATGACCCTCTCTTTCCTTGAAAGGTGTCTCCCACATGCCTGGTTACTCAACCCCAGAGGCTTCCTTCTGCTTCCTGATCCAACTGTGTGGTGGGTCCCCCAGAGCACTATGCGGCTCTGGCGAGTGGGGCTGGCAGCAATATCCAAATGGAACCCCTGAACTCTAAGCCTCGTCCCCGACAGCCTTGCCACCACCCACAGTCTGGTTGAGCAACAGGTAGCTCTTTTATCTCAATCTGGAACAGGTCTTTTCTGAGGTTGGCGGGTCTTAATTGCCAACTGGGGACTAGCCAACCCAAGGCGCTTTGTGCGATAAGAGCGGCCCCTCTCCCTACTCCTGGGAAAACCCATCCTGCATAGAGGAGGTGCTTGGTTTATAAATAATAATAATAACAATAATAATAACAATAATAATAATCTCCCCAAAGAGGACTCGGGGCAGCTAACATGAGGCCAAGCCCAAAATAATACAACATACCATATATACTCATGTATAAGCCGACCCGAATATAAACCGAGGCACCTAATTTTACAAAAACTGGGAAAACATATTGACTCGAGTATAAGCCGAAGGTGGGAAATGCAGCAGCTACTGGTAAATTTCAAAATAAAAATAGATACCAAGAAAATGTTTTTGAATATTTACACTGTAATTTAAGATATGACTGTCCAACTCTGATTCTTAGCTTCTTCAGTGTAAATGTGCTTATGTATCCTTCCAATAATAATAAAGAGAGTAACATAATAAATGTAATAATAACAGTGATAATAGAGTAAAATAATACATGTAATAATAACAATAATAAATCGATTAAAATAATAAATGTAATAATAACTATAATAAATAGAGTATGTCGGGAGAGAGGAATGGGAGACTAAACTCATAGATGTAAGAAATATGGATAGATTAAGTTATTTAATACAGAAAGGCAAAGGATTTTTAGAGAAAGAAACGGACTGGACATTGATAAACGAATATTTTGGATGGAAACGATAGGTGGAGAGAAAGGAAAATCTCTCCACTCTGAAGCCCAGACATTTATGGTAGTATTAGACACAAAAGAACGTATATCAAGAAAGAAAAGGAAACCTCTTCAACAACACCGGGAAGTCGGACCGAAAGAAGGGGGAAACCTCAATCTTCAATTCTGCTTTGTTTTTAATTCCCACATCTTACTTTTCCGCTTTTTCTATCACTTCTTCTCTTCCCCTTTTCTCTATTTACCCCCTGACCCACTTAGTTTTTGACCCCCTTCCACCACACTCCTTTCTCCTTTGCTTCTCTTCCCTTTTGCCCCCCTTCCCCCTCCGTCTCTTTTCCCCTTTCTTCCTCATGTCCACTTTTTTCTTTTTCCATATACTTGAACTATTTGATCTATCTTTTTAATATGTAATGAAAAAGTTTCAATAAAGATATTAAAATAAATAAAGTAAAATAGTACATGTAATAATAACAACATTAATAAAGTAAAATAACAATGTAATAATAATAGAATAAAATGATAGATGTAATAATAATAATAATAATAATAATAATAATATGACTAAAATAATACATGTAATAAAAATAATAACAACAGAGTAAAATAATAAATAACTTTGACTTTGATAAGCCGAGAGGAACATTTTCAGCCTATAAAAAGAGCTGAAAAACTGGGCTTATACTCAAGTATATACAGTAATTAGACACAGAAACGACAAACAATACATCATAACAAAAAATATTAAATAAATAAATAAACAGGTTTACATTCCCAGCCCGAAAGAAGCCCAGCATGCCCATTCGCAGTCACCACAAGCCCCACAGACCTTCAACTGGACTGGAAGAGTCGCCCCCCGAATGGGCTCTGTCTTCAGCATTTCGAGGGTCGGCCGGTTGTATACTCGGCCCAGCAGCTCAGGCGGCGTGTTCAGATGGGCGGCAACGTCAAACTCTTGCACTGGACCCAAAAGAAAAGTCTTATTTGGTAAAGACGTTCCGGGTTTCTTCTTTCACAAAAACATCAGTGACAGAGGGACAAAAGCCTACCCCTCAATACCACTGAGTTCTGCTGCCAATCCAGAGTAGCATCCAAGTTGCCTCTTCCTTTGTTTGTAACACTTTTAAAACTCCTCCAGGATCTCCTTTTGACTAAGACTGCCTTAATCAAGGGGAATAACACTATGTAACATAATTTGGGGGGAAAAATCTGTTCCTGGTTTGAAAGTGTTATTTCCTGTTTAGTTGTGCAGTACTGACTTGGAAAGGAGTTGTTCTATTCCAGAAACTTTGTTTCTTAACTATTTATTAGGAGCCCCCGGTGGCTCAGTGGGTTAAACCCCTGTGCCGGCAGGACTGAAGTCCGACAGGTCGCAGGTTCGAATCCAGGGAGAGGCGATAAGCTCCCTCTATCAACTCCAGCTCCTCCTGCGGGGACATGTGAGAAGCCTCCCACAAGGATGATAAAAAACACCAAATCATCCGGGCATCCCCATGGCAACGTCCTTGCAGACGGCCAATTCTTTCACACCAGAAGCAACTTGCAGTTTCTCAAGTCACTCTTGACAGGACAAAAAAACAAAAACAAAAAAACCCTATTTATTTATTTTTTATACTTTTACCTTGTCCTCACCCCCGTAGGAGGGGCTCATGGCAGCCTCACAAAAGCATTATCGGATGCCGGCATCATAAAAACAATCAGCAATACATTAAAAATATTAAAAACAATATTTTATTTTTTTTGTCGTGTCAGGAGCAAACGTTCCTGTTGTGAGAGAATTGGCTGTCTGCAAGGACGTTGCCCAGGGGACGCCTGGATGATTTTTGATGTTTTATCATCCTTGTGGGAGGCTTCTCTCATGTCCCCGCATGAGGAGCTGGAGCTGATAGAGGGAGCTCATCCGCCTCTCCCCGGATTTGAACCTGTGACCTGTCGGTCTTCAGTCCTGCCGGCTCAGGGGTTTAACGCACAGCGCCACTGGTTAAACAGTGAATTAAAGAGTAATTAAACAGTGAATTAAAACACGTCTGTTAAAATCAGAATCCATAATCTGTGGCTGCCATTTTTAACCTTTCGACGTGCCATTTTTAACCTGTTGTGCAGGACGCAGAAATAAAATTTTGGCAGTTTAATAAACTTTTCTCATTTTTAAAAAATAATAATACCAATTAGAAAATGACACATATAATCCAGGAACAAAAACTGTGCTACATAGTGATTTTTTTTTTCGTGTGAACTCCTCACACTTGAGAAACTGCAAGTCGCCTCTGGTGTGAGAGAATTGGCCGTCTGCAGGGATGTTGCCCAGGGGGCGCCTGGATGTTTTACCATCCTGTGGGAGGCTTATCGCATGTCCCCACATGAGAAGCTGGAGCTGACAGACCAGAGCTCACCCTGCTCCCCGGATTTTAACTGCAAACCTTTTGGTCAGCAGTCCTGTTGACCCACTGTACCACCGGGGGCTCCACATAGAGTAGTGAACAGGCACAATGAAGTAATGCAGCCAGACATATGCAGCTGTGACCAAGGTGGAGGGGGAGGGGCCCTTTCCTCCTCCCCATTCCCAGGTAATGAGCAGCTCCAGAGGTCTCCCTCAAAGGGCCTCCTGTGCACTGCCTTACCTTCTCTCTTGGTGTCGAAGAAGAAGGTGTGCTTATTGGGCTGCTTTCCTTCTGCCTCCAGCAGGTGGAGCTCTGACTTCAGCCTTTCGATTTTCTAGGACCAGAGAGAGATTGAAAGAAGAAACCATCAACACCAAACCTTTGCTGGGAACCTTTGAATGGCAGAGAATGGGACTGGAGGAGTAATGGTGGGCTGCCCACCTTTGGATGCACAACATTCTATGGCCTCTTCTACATTCCCAGGATCCCAGATTATTTGCTTATCCCAGATTATCTGTCAGTGTAGACTCATACAATACAGTTCAAAGCAGATAATCTGGGATGAGATCCTGGGATATAGGGCAGTGTAGAAGGGACCTCAGCCCCCCCTGGTGGCACAGCCGGTTAAACTGCAAAACTTGCTGACTGAAAGGTTGGCAGTTGAATCTGGGGAGTGGGGTGAGCTCCCACTGTTAGCCCCAGCTCCTGCCAAACTAGCAGTTCAAAAACATGAAAATGTGAGTAGATCAATAGGTACTGCTTCGGTGGAAAGGTAATGGCACTCCATGCAGTCATGCTGGCCACATGACCTTGGAGGCGTCTACAGACAATGCCAGCTCTTCAGATTAGAAATGGAAATGAGCACATACCCTCAGTTAGAGGGTTAGACATGACTAGACTTAATGTCAGGGGAAACCTTTACCTTTACTTTTAGAATAATAATAATAATAATAATAATAATAATCTTTATTTATACCCCGCCACCATCTCCCCAATGGGGACTCAGGGCGGCTTACATGAGGCCAAGCCCAAACAACAAATTACAGCAAAATAAAACTGAAAACGAAAACAGTAAACATCATCATCATTACATAAAACATATCAATGCATAACAATATAAAATTACAGTAAACACAATCACAGTGACAATGGGCAGGCTACATGTAATGATTAAAAGAAAAACTAATTAAAAACTGATTTAAAAAACTCAGGCGAGATAAAGGGGAAGCAGGTTATTTACGGAGGGGGACTCATGGTTGTTCCCCTTCCGCAGGGGAAAATCCAACAGCAAAGCAGCCTCCCCTCCCCATCTCTCCCTGTTCCCTGGAAGCCAAATGGGGACACACTACCTGCACAGCTGAGGGGGCTTCCTCTGGACACAGAGAATGGAGACCTGACAAACCATTACTCAGCCATCGCCCCTCTGGAGACTTCCTACCTTGACTTCCGCCACTCGCTTCATTTCGATGTACTTCAGGTCCTGGGTCTTGATCAGTTTCTGCTGCTCCAAGGAGCATTCCTCTTCCTGTGGCTTTTCTAGATGGACGCCATCCTGGCAGCAGAGGGGAGGCAATGAGTGAGTGCAGGGAGGGAAGGAAGGAAAGGGAGCTTCTCTAGAGAAAGCCTGGAAGGGCCACTGCCAGGCAAGAAGAGGGCTGAGAGCCCTGATGGGAAATATCCTCGGGTCCTGGAAGGGCTCACTCATTCTCCCCTCCTCCATCCTGCTCCATGGTGGCACAGTGGGTTAAGCCCTTGTGCTGGCAGGACTGAAGACCGACAGATCAGAGGTTTGAATCTGGAGAGAGCGTGGATGAGCTCCCTCTGTCAGCTCCAGCTTCCCATGTGGGGACATGGGAGAAGCATCCCACAAGGATGGTAAAACATCAAAACATGCGGGCATCTCCTGGGCAACATCCTTGCAGATGGCCAATTCTCTCACACCAGAAGCGACTTGCAGTTTCTTAAGTCGCTCCTGACACACACACACACAAAATCCCAGCATAGAGCCTCTACCCCAAAAGGAAGGCCAGGTTCTAGGGCCACTCTCACCTGCAACTGTACCCGGGTCATCCGGTGGTAGAACTCATCCGGGTTCCTCTCCTGGGCTTTGCGTCGGAGGGCGCGGAGGGCATTCTGCTTTTTGTGGTAGTCCCTGAAAGGAAAGGCAAAGCCATTCTGGCTTCTGGCCTGAGCACAACCACAGAGGCCCCATGCGAAGAGGGCTGGGAGGTTCAGGCCATAACCCAGCAAAGGCTCAAGCCTGCCTGCATTCAGTGAATGGGACACCCACAGAGACACATATGCATACACATATATAACTATACCAGGCCTGGGCAAACTTGGACCCTCCAGGTGTTTTGGACTCCAACTCTCACAATTCCTAACAGCCTCAGGCACTTTCCTTTTCCCCCCTCAGCCACATCCGTACCTTGTGCGCCAGCTGTGTATCTGCGCCCGTACCGTGTGCACCAGCTGCACCTGTACCTTGGGAAGTCTGATCTGGCCACATGCTCTTGTTACATCCCGAATAGATTACTGCAACCCACTCTACATGGGATTGCCTTTGAAGACTATTCGGAAACTCCAACTAGTCCAATGATCAGCATCCAGATTACTCACTGGAGAGATATACAGGGAGCACACAACCCCCCACTGGCTGCTGGTCCATTTCTGAGCACAATTCAAAGTGTTGGTCATGACCTATAAAGCCGTATACAGTTCTGGCCCAGTTTATTTGTCCAAATGTATCTCCCTCTACGATTCACCTCGGAGTTTACGATCATCAGGGGAGGCCCTGCCCTCAATCCTGCCACACTCGAAGAGAGACAGGGCCTTCTTGGTGGTGGCCCCCATCTATGGAACACACTCCCCAGTGAAATCAAGGCGACACCCTCTCTCATTTCCTTTAGAAAAAAGGTCAAGTCATGGCTTTGGGACCAAGCATTTGGGCAGCTGACTGAACAGTAACTGCAATGACTCATGGAAATAAATAATAGATAGACCTCAGACTGGAACTTTTGACTCTGACTTGGTTTTGAGATACGGCTTGACTATGTTTTAATATTTTAAAGTTCTGATATTTTAATGTATATTTATCATTCATTGTCCATTTAATGTTAATTTGCTTTGTATTGTGACTGTTTGTTGTTGTTGGCATCTAATGGCTGCCAGTTGTAAGCCGCCCTGAGTCCCCCTTGTGAGGTTCAGAAGGACGAGATATCATCAACATCAAAATAGTTTATTGTACGGGCCCAAGGCCATGACAAAAAGCACCACATGCGCACAATAGTACCTTCGGAGTAATAGGTACCAAAGATGCTAAACAGAACCATAATTTGCTCCCACAACAAAAACAATGGAAGTTAATAATAGTTAAAATACATTTTAGGAGAGGATCCAGTTAACCCTTAGAGTCTCCTTGGCAGTTGATAGCAATTTTATCTAACTCTGTCTTTCTGATCTTTTTTGCAGAGCGAGCAAAAAGGGCAACTTTGTAAGTTACAGTCATTTGTGTCGGTCAGCAGAAACTGCACTGTTTCTGCAATAGAGTTCCCTTTGTCTTGTGTCAGTAAGGGTTTCAGGTGTCTTTCCCTTGGGTCACCATACAACGGGCAGACTAACCGATAACTATTTATGTATTATTTATTTATTTACTTTATTTGTATACCGCTCTTCTCAGCCTTTAGGCGACTCAGAGCGGTTTACAACAGTTTAGGTATACACAATACAAAATCATTAGGCATTTAAAAGCAATAGCATCACAAATCATTAAACATCAGCATCAATACATCAGTACATCAATATAACAAATCCATCAGGTCTCATCAATGAAATCAGAATCCAAACTCGTTATCCAATATTCTGTGTTCCGATAGTCAGTCAATCAATCACACTGCTTAGTCGAATGCCTGTTCAAACAGCCAGGTCTTTACTTTCCTCCAGAATGCCAGCAAGGAGGGGGTCGATCTAATATCTGCAGGAAGGGCGTTCCACAGCCGAGGGGCCACCACTGAGAAGGCCCTGTCTCTCGTCCCCGCCAGGCATGCTTGTGAAGCCGGCGGGATCGAGAGCAGGGCCTCCCCAGACGATCTTAATGTCCTAACTGGTTCATAGGAGGAGATGCGTTCGGACAGGTAGGTCGGGCCAGAACCGTTTAGGGCTTTAAAGGCTAAAGCCAGGACTTTGAATTGTGCCCGGTAGCAAATTGGCAGCCAGTGGAGCTGGCGCAGCAGAGGAGTGGTATGCTCCTTGAGTGCCGATCGTTGGACCATTTGAAGCTTCCGAGCAGTCTTCAGAGGCAACCCCATGTAGAGAGCATTGCAGTAGTCTAAGCGGGATGTGACTAGAGTATGGACTACCGTGGCCAAGTCCGACTTCCCAAGGTACGGGCGCAGCTGGTGCACTAGTTTTAACTGTGCGAATGCTCCCCTGGTCACTGCTGAAACCTGGGTTTTGATTACAAATACAGATGGCCATCCCAGCCTCTGTTTCAAAGCTTCCAAAGAAGGAGACTCCACCACACTCCAGGGCAGAGAGTTCCACTAATGAACAGCTCTCACAGTCAGGAAGTTCTTCCTAATGTTCAGATGGAATCTCCTTTCCTGTAGTTTGAAGCCATTGTTCCGCGTCCTAGTCTCCAGGGCAGCAGTAAACAAGCTTGCTCCCTCCTCCCTATGACTTCCTCTCACATACTTATACATGGCTATCATGTCTCCTCTCAGCCTTCTCTTCTTCAGGCTAAACATGCCCAGCTCCTTAAGCCGCTCCTCATAGGGCTTGTTCTCCAGACCCTTGATCATTTAGTTGCCCTCCTCTGGACACATTCCAGCTTGTCAATATCTCTCTTGAATTGTGGTGCCCAGAATTGGACACAATATTCCAGGTGTGGTCTAACCAAGGCAGAATAGAGGGGTAGCATGATTTCTAACACTAAATAAGTTTGCCCATGCCTGTCATAGAATCATAGAGTTAGAAGAGGCCACATGCCAGATCTATACAGATACACCTATAGGAGGGAGAGAGAGACAAGAGAGGGCCTCCTGGGGAGCCAATAGGGAGGGGGCGTGGCCTGGACTCACTCTGCACGGAGCTTGTAGTCCTTCTTCTTCTCGAGGAGACCCAGCTGCTTCCGGGAAGAGAGCTGTGAGGGAACATGAGGGCAGCGTCAGACACCGGAAGCGAGGAACGGAACCCTTTTGCAACAGCCCTCCTCTTCCCCGACAACGACACAACTTCCCTCCCGCACCCCCACCTGGACCCACCTGGCTCCGCTCGCGGTGCTCCCGCTGCCCGGCTTTGGCCGCCTTCCTGAACGCTGCCGCCATGCTGGGACCGGGCAGAAACTCACGACTTCCGGCGCCTCCTCTCTTCCGGTCCTGGGATGGACCCGCCCCTTACGTGACGTCACTGGCGAGGAAGCCCCGCCCCCGCAGAGTCTCCTGGTATTTTTATTTATAGCAGGGGTCCTCAAACTTTTTAAACAGAGGGCCGGGTCACAGTCCCTCAAACTGTTGGAGGGCCGGATTATAATTTGAAAAATCTATATAAATAAAAATGTAATGTTCGTTTGTGGGATTAACATAACTCAAAAACCACTGGACGAATTGACACCAAATTTGGACAAAATACTGATATTAGGCCAACGAGTGACCATCACTCATAAAAACACTGAAAAACACAGTGGAAGAGACATAAAAAGCAACACCCCCCCCAATACATTACAATGCATGCGCAAAACCACACACACACATATATATATATATATATATATATATATATATATACACAAACACACACATCTATGTATATACAGACACAAAACACATACACAGAAAGGGGGAAAGAAGGAAGGAAAGAGAGAAGGAGGGAGAGAAGGAGGGAAGGAAAGAAAGAAGGAAAGAAGGGTAGAGAAGGAAGGAAGGAAGGAGAGAAATAAAGAGGGAAAGAAGGAGGGAAGGAAAAAAAGAAGGATAGAGAATGAAGGAAGGAGAGAAGGGGGAGAGAAAGAGAGAAAGAAAAAGGGAAAGAGGAAAAGAAAGAAGGGGGAAGGAAAGAAAGAAGGGTAGAGAAGGAAGGAAGGAGAGAAAGAAAGGGAAAGAAGAAGGGAAGGAAAGAAAGAAGGGTAGAGAATGAAGGAAGGAGAAAAGGAGGGAAAGAGAGAAAGAAAGACGGAAAGAAGAAGGGAAAGGAGGAGAGAAAGAAGGAAAGAAAGAAGGGTAGAGAAGGAAGGAAGGAGAGAAGGAGGGAGAGAAAGAGAGAAAGAAAGGGAAAGAAGAAGGGGGAAAAGGAGGGAAGGAGAGAAAGAAGGAAAGAAAGAAAGAAAGAAAGAAAGAAAGAAAGAAAGAAGGGTAGAGACGGAAGGAAGGAGGGAAGGAGGGAGAGAAAGAGCGAAAGAAGGAGGGGAGGAGAAAAGGAAAGAAAGAAAGGTAGAGAAGGAAGGAGAGAAGGAAATAAAAAAGTGAAAGAGGGAAAGAAGAAGAGGGAACGAAAAAGAGAAAGAGGGAGGGGAGGAAGGAAAGAGACAAGGAAGGATGGAACCAAAGAGAGAACATCAGGAGAGAATGCTTCTGGAACACAGCCATACAGCCCAAAATCTACAACCCAGATGATGTCTGTGTGTGTGTTTGAAGGGAGGGGGTTCTTGCCCAGCAGAGGAGGAGGAGGGTCTTGGCGGGCTATGTCCCTCCCTCCCTCCCTCTGCATTGGTTTCCAGGTGGAAGGCGGTCCCGGTTGGGGTTGGCTTGACGCGCCTTCCTCCTGGCATGTTTCTCTCTTTCGCCCTCCACTCGTGCCTCCGCGAATTCTGTAGCACTGCTGGTCACAGCTGACCTCCAGCTGGAGCGCTCAAGGGCCAGGGCTTCCCAGTTCTCAGTGTCTATGCCAGAGTTTTTAAGGTTGGCTTTGAGCCCATCTTTAAATCTCTTTTCCTGTCCACCAACATTCCGTTTTCCGTTCTTGAGTTCAGAGTAGAGCAACTGCTTTGGGAGACGGTGGTCGGGCATCCGGACAACATGGCCGGTCCAGTGGAGTTGATGGCAGAGGACCATTGCTTCAATGCTGGTGGTCTTTGCTTCTTCCAGCACGCTGACATTTGTCCGCTTGTTTTTCCAAGAGATTTGCAGGATTTTCCAGAGGCAGCGCTGATGGAATCGTTCCAGGAGTTGCATGTGACGTCTGTAGACAGTCCACGTTTCGCAGGCATAGAGCAGGGTTGGGAGGACAATAGCTTTATAGACAAGCACCTTGGTATCCCTACGGATGTCCCGGTCCTCAAACACTCTCTGCTTCATTCGGGAAAATGCTGCACTCGCAGAGCTCAGGCGGTGTTGTATTTCGGTGTCAATGTTGACTTTGGTGGAGAGGTGGCTGCCAAGGTAGCGGAAATGGTCAACATTTTCTAATGTTACACCATTAAGCTGTATCTCTGGCATTGGGGAGGGATGGCTGGTGACTGCTGGAACAGCACTTTGGTTTTCTCGATGTTCAGTGACAGGCCAAGCTTCGTGTATTCTTCTGCGAAGGTGTTTAGAGTGGCTTGTAGATCTTCTTCTGAATGCGCACAGAAGACATTGTCATCAGCATACTGGAGTTCTATAACAGATGTTGTTGTAACCTTGGTTTTGGCTTTCAGTCTGCTGAGGTTAAACAGCTTGCCATCTGTCCGATAGATGATTTCCACTCCGGTGGGAAGCTTCCCATCAACAAGGTGAAGTATCATAGCGATGAAGATGGAGAATAAAGTTGGGGCAATAACACATCCCTGGAATATCCGGAGAGGTATTCCACAGTGGGTAGGCATATTCAGGAGCAGAGTAGCAAAGTGCAAGGGCAGATATCTTCACTGTCTGGTTGTGATCGCCAGGTTTTGCCTGTCAGCTTTCATATATAATTTTTAACACCCACTTTTTGCTTGGTACGAGGGTTGAATGAAAAGTAATACCTTCACCTTCGTTACTTGGGTTTGGATGAGAATATTTTAATAAACACAGAAATAATCCTTAGAATGTGCTCTTTAACTCCCACTATTCAGTTTCCACATAATCACCAGACGATTGGATACATTTCTGCCAACGATGAACAAGTTTTCTGAAGCCATCACAGAAGAAGTCGACACTCTGTTTCCGGAACCAGCATCTCACAGTTCTATCATCCTGGGTACCCATCGTGCACAGATCTTCCGATAGCCAAGCAAAGCAATAATGTGATCCACACATTCTTGTGAAATGTCGATTATGCTTGAAATTTCTCTCTGAGTGAATCGTCCTGAATCAATCTGTCAACCTTTTGCTTGGGAAACTCAGTGGTTGCTGTCACGGGACGTCCAGCTCTTTGTCACGCAAGTCAGATGTTCCTCTCAACATCTTTAAACTTACTCGCCCAACGACACACAGTACTCACATCAACACAATCACCATGAACAGCTTGCATTCTCTGATGAATCTCCTTTGGGGTGACACCTTCTGCTGTCAAGAATTCAATGACTGCACGTTGCTTAAGTTGCATTGACCAATCGTCTGTGCAGGGTTCCATACTTTGCACTTTAACAACACAAACGTTCAATGCTAAGGCTTCCCGCCAAAATGGAACTGTAGAGGAGAGTCTACTGAACAAGCCAGGACCTGCCACATACCAGTACTGCCATCTGTTGAGGAATTATGAAGGTGGAGGCATCTAACCCTCATATTTAAGCAGTGCTTCTTGTAGGTCGGGAAACGATCCGGGGTAACTCCCAGGTATTTTAGTGTGCTGCAATGCTCCAGTGGGATTCCTTCCCAGATCATCCTCAGATCATGCTTGTCTGTTCTTAAGGTGAAAAGCACATGTCTGTGTTTTAGATGGATTAGGAATCAGCCATTTCCCTCTGTAATAGGCAGTAAGAGCACCTAAAGCTTCAGAGAGCTTCTGTTCAAGCATTTCCAAACTCCCTGCTTGGGTGGTGATGGCATGATTGTCAGCATAGATGAAACTCTCTGTCCCTTCTGGCAATGACTGATCATTTGTGTCAATGTTAAACATTGATGGAGTGAGCACGCTCCCCTGAGGCAGGCCGTTCTTCTGTTTTCGCCATCTGCTTCTCTGGCCCTGGAATTCAAGAAAAAAGTTCATGTTTTGTAGCAGATTTCCTATGAAGCGGGTGAGGTGGTAGTCCTTTGTGATATTGTAAGTTTTTCTCAGGAGAAGACGATGATTTACAGTGTCACAAGCTGCTGACAATGTAGATGAAACTAACTGTCCATTCTGGCAATGGCTGATCATTTGTGTCAATGTTAAACATTGATGGAGTAAGCACACTCCCATTTCAAAGCTCCCTGCTTGGGCAGTGATGGCACGATCATCAGCATAGATGAAACTCCCTGTCCCTTCTGGAAGAGGCTGGACATTTGTGTAATTTTTTTTGTCGTGTTAGGAGTGATTTGAGAAACTGCAAGTCACTTCTAGTGTGAGAGAATTGGCCGTCTGTAAGGACGTTGCCCAGGGGACGCCCGGATATTGTGATGTTTTTACCATACTTGTGGGAGGCTTTTCTTATGTCTCTGCATGAGGAGCTGGAGCTGATAGAGGGAGCTCATCCACGCTCTCCCTGGATTCAAACCTGCGATCTGTTGGTCTTCAGTCCTGCTGGCACAGGGGTTTAACCCACTGCACCACCGGGGGCTCCTCATTTGTGTAAATGTTAAACATTGATGGAGGAAGCACACTCCCATTACAAAGCTCCCTGCTTGGGCGGTGATGGCACAATCATCAGCATAGATGGAACTCCCTGTCCCTTCTGTCAGAGGCTGGACATTTGTGTCAATGTTAAACATTGATGGAGCAAGCACACTCCCATTTCAAAGCGCACTGCATGGGCGGTGATGGCACGATCATCATCATAGATGAAATTCTCTGTCCCTTCTGGCAGTGGCTGGTCATTTGTGTAGATGTTGAACATGGATGGAGCGAGCATGCTCCCCTGAGGCAGGCCGTTCTTCTGTTTCCGCCATCTGCTTCTCTGGCCCTGGAACTCAACAAAAAAGCTCCTGTTTTGTAGCAGGTTTCCTATGAGGCGGGTGAGGTGGTAGTCCTTTGTGATATTATACATTTTTCTCAGGAGGAGGCGGTGGTTCACAGTATCATAAGCCGCTGACAGGTCTATGAAGACAGCTCCTGTGGTCTGCTGCTTTTCAAAGCCATCTTCTATGTGCCGAGTCAGGTTCAGCACTTACGATGTGCAGCTTTTGCCTTTCCTGAAGCCAGCTTGCTGTGGAATCAGACAGGGGTCTATTTTTTCCATAATTCTATGCAGAATAAGTCTCTCCAGAACTTTGTAGAGGTGGCACAGCAGGGAGATTGGTCTGTAGCTTTTTGGATCATTACGGTCTTTGCCTGGCTTCAAGATGGCAA